GCCGGCAAGACAACGATCTCGTGGCTCAATGGTTACGGTGTTTGACTCTGATCGAAAAATGTCGCGAGTTCGAGGTTCGGGTGGGGCAACACTTGGGTTTGTGTATGACTGCCTGACAACGGATAATAAGCCAAAGTTTCTCACTTGTCTTTGCCGGCAATGCTATCTGCTTAAAACATATTAAATGACTGTCTGTTCGGCACACCTGCCATTCAGTTGAGACTGGTGTGGACCTGTGTAACCCGACGAACTCAGATAAAGTCTAACTGGTGTGATTGTCGGTCCTGTGTGCCGCAGTCTCTGGGACGAGACCGAATAAGTCGAAGAAGATGGAAGGCAGCAGAAAAGGTGCTGCATTCGGTGTAGAATCCCGAGTTGAGGTCTCAGGCTGTAGTGGTTGCTGACGAGACCAGGCCGTGGTTGACAACCTGCCTCAGAGTTACGCTCATCGATCAGGTACGGCACTCACTCCGCCCGTTCTGCCTTGTATACCTCTCTTGCGTCCGGCCAGTAGCCACGCAGCTGCTAGCATTATAGACTATCGCAGCGGGTTGAGAGAGTTAAACCTTAGCAACTGCGATCTTCAGACCATGGTAGCTTAGGAGACAAAAATTCGGTGGAAGCCAGAATAGTAGGAATTGTGTATTCTGCACAGAAGGATGGGAAAGAATAGATGACAAGAGTTTCGACTGTCGGATGACTGCAGTCCGGCCACGAGGGCGTCAATTCTGGAGTGACGAGAGCGTTAGGAATGACCGGAATGCCGGTGCATGCTTTGTTAGGGCAGCCAATCACACGGCCAATGTCTAGATTAGCGGTCGTGGCGCGACCTTGAGATGGACGAAGGCCGGAGTGGGCAAGCAGGCCTCGCAGGCCAAGGGTGCCATGCGTCAGTGGCTGATTTTGTGTTCCAAGTGGCTGCTAGGGGCCACTACAAGGCAGAAGAACATAATGGACAAAGACTTGAGAGACTGGAATGACCAATTCTGGCTTAGAAGCCGTTATCAGGCAGTCATATCCAATCCGAGCCGGTGCACCACCCGAGGCTCGAACACGCGACCAACCCTCTAACACACTGAGCCAGGGGCTCGTTGCCTAGTCGGTTTCGATAAGAAATAGTAGCACTGGTTGATTGGTGCTGACCAATCAGTTACGGGACTCACTCGTTCCCTTCTGCCCTTCGAGCTCCGCCAGCCACCACACACCGGTTAGTATTATAGAAGCCAGAAATGACCATTCTAGTGTAGGGGTCTAAGTAGTGGTTGTGCCTAGATCACTACAATCATCAGGCCAAATCCCACGTTGGAAGTTAAAAGGCAAGAGTCACCAGAAGGAGGGGTTTATTGTGTACAGAACTCCAATTGCTGTCACAGGCGGCAGTGGCCACTGGCGAAGCCAGAGCTAGTGTTGACTGCGTCCAGCCAGGCCAGAGAGAGTCGACTACGTGTTGTGTGGGGTGATGACAGTTGCTTTTACATGACTGTGAAGGGAGTTCAAGTGTTGTGCTATTGGTGTGTTGCAATTGCCCGAGCGGATGTCGCCTGTAGAGGTCTTTACTGCATGGGCCGAGGGGTGGTGTATTCAAGTAACCTTCAGGCAGGCGTGCTTATTTGGACGCGTGTGTGTGTGCACGTTTGTGTGTGACTGAATAAGCTGAGGTCAACTGTGGGGAACTACCGGAAAGCCGAAGGAGATGGAAACGCTGGCGCAGCTGTTATCGGTTAGCCAGAAACAGTTGCGAGGTCAAGCCTCGGGGGATCGAGGTGCCAGTGAAAGAAAGCATTGGGACAGTTGTTTGTTACGTCGCACGAATTTAGGCAGCGAGTCTTGGAGAACGAAGGTAGGGGGACAGGCATTGTGGCCGTCCACCGCACTAGTCTCTCTTGTCTCCCTTGTTGATGAAATTTGCTCTAACGGTACTCCCGATTTGTGCAATTTTGGTAGCCTGTATAGCCTGGGAATATGTGAAGCTACAGGCCTAAGACAGGCAGTCGCGTTCTCATCTGTTATTCATTTTTCAAGCAGCGGTTTGAAATTTTCCCAGAGCTTCTGTTTCTTCTTTCCCATGGGTTTCAGAAGAGAATTTGCTGGGGTCATTTAATACCGATTCCACCTTGCTTAGTAACCAACCTTGTTTAAAATAACAACACAGCTTTCTTTGTCTAGTCTAGAGATAACGACATCAGTGGTCTTTCGTAGATCATTTAGAACCGAAAGGTGTTGCTTAAGCAAAAGCGCTGAACGCTGAGTAATCGGGGATATTTTATACTGATAAGCGATATCCATGAATTTCGCTTTCAGCCATGTCGCAGGTGCTTCTGACGTCGGTTCCAGGTCCGATAACTAGTAATAAAAGTCTTAAAATTGGGCTCCAATCTCTGTTGGGTCAATTTTCCTCCTCGGTACCCAAAATTAAAGCACTAGGGAGATGCGTTTGGCTGGTATAGACCAGGAGTATCATTAAGACAAATTTTACCAGTGAGAAATTCACCGCAGCATAAGCTTGTCCAGTGGTTAGTCCAACAAATTTGTCGGTAATGTTCTCACGCCTCAAAGAGACCGAGAGTGAGATTGTAGCCGTGTGGTTTGCGCGAGTGAGCTCAAGTACTAGTAATCGCGCAATACGGCATGTGAGACCTGGACGGTCGTGTCTGTCTGGACCTGTGTTGCAGTCAGTAAGGCCATAAGGTCAACGCGTCTGAGGACGCTGGCAGTCCAACTAGAGATGACCTTGGACATCGAACGGTGTTCTTGCGCCGTTCTAATGGTTGAGTTCAGAGGTGTTTCAGAAGCCAAACAGTTTAACCACATCTGCGCACAAGACGTGACTGAGCCTG